TGGAATCAAGACTTTAAGTATAAGGTAAGGAGAGGGAACTAATAAAATCAAAATGCTTTAATTGGGAACTGTAATGTCAGAACCAAATTAGAAATATCAATAGGAAGCTGGGTGCTGTGGCTCATGCCTGTAATCCCCAGCACTTTGGGAGGCTGAGGCAGGAGGATCACTTGAGGCCAGGAGTTTGAGACCAGCCTAGGCAACATAGTGAGAGCCTTGTCTCTACAAAAAAAATTTTAAATTGGCCAGGGCCCCCCCACTGGCCAAAGTGTGTCAATTTGAGCAATAAAATATAATTATTGCAGTTGATTAAATCACATTCAATCCATGAGAGGCCATGAGTCCATCATAATATACAGGAAAAAGATTTGCATTAAGTTGAATAAAGATGGTGACTTGAATAGATTATATTACTTTTGAATCCTTTATTCATACATACTATTATTTTGACTCATTTCCTTCATCAGTGAAAAGTACAAAATTTAGTAAATATTAAATACATAGTTAGAAAGCGCTTTCTGGCTTAAGGGAGGATGTCAGTAGAACGATCCTGTAAATTGTGACCATAAGCCCGACAAAGTCATTCGAGACAGCCAAATTTCATTCAAGCATATAAAATTTCAAATATCTATGAGCATTTTATGGTCTTAATAATATGAGAAAATTGCAAGATGCCATTAAACTCAAAGGTCTCTAAAACCACTTCGAAAGACGTTTGCATGTCTTAAATCTTGTCAAGTTAAAAGGTATTTAGAGAAGAAGTAAAAATATATCATGTATCTTAAGAGTCAAAATACAGCATCCGAGTGATCAGGCCATATGGAGGCAACCAAGCTCCGTGAATGGAGAGAAGAAACAGGCAGAGCTTAGGTTACCTCCGGGGATCTGCCCCGATCACACTGTGCTGACCGTGGAAAAACTATACTGGCTGCATATGTGCTATTCTGATACGGAAACAAGTCTGTGTTACATTGCTGGGTATAAAATTCAAATTTCAGAATAATATTAATATTAAAAGCCCACTTAAGGAAAAAAAAAATAATGATACGGTTTTCAAGTTTGACTCTATAACCGTTGTATTGGAATTTTTAGCAAAGCGTATGTATTCATCTACACCTATTTAGTCCGACTTAACCCATGGCTGTGACTGGCAACAACGCCCCCAGGACTCCAGCGCGCCCTCCTCCCCGTTCCGGCACCGACACCCGCTGCAGCCCGAGCTGGCGCGGTCGCGGGTGCAGACTCGAGCACCGCGGCGCCCGCGCGCAAGCGCACTCGCGGCGGCACCCGCGCAACGCGGCCGTCATCAGCCCGGCTCCGTGCGTCGTCGTTACGCCTGTGGGGTTTCGTGGCCTTTTAAAAATGTCTTCCAAAGGATGACGTGATGGCTCCGAACTGAAGTGAAAAGTTACTGCGCACGCAAAAGGGCAAGCAGGACGCACCTTTGAGCGTCTGTGGGGGGAAGACGGCCCCGTCCACGTGCATCGGGCGGACGAGCCGGTTTGCGAGACGCGCACAAACTCCGAGCCGACGAGGCCTCGGGGAGCCGAGCGCGCGTAGGGGCGGCGGCGACGGAGGCCGGTCTCCCAGCGACTCCGGAATCGGGGAAGGAAGAACCACCTCCGCAGCCCCGGCGCAGCCAGGGCCGGCGTCCCCGGAACCCCGTGCGCGCCCCCAGAGCTGCGGCGACGCCGGCCCTGTGCGCGCAGCAAGCCTCCCGCGACCCGGGAGCCTCGGGCTCCCTGATTAAAATCGGATTAAATGAGCTATTACTTCTGGTATCTTTTGCCACATCTCATGATAAATTTGCTATTTGCCTGATACTGAAGTATCTTAACAGTCATGCTGCCAGTGAAAGGGCAGAAAACGTAAAAGCCTTTACGCCAAGAACCTGAGTTTTCCCGCTCCCCGGGAGGTGACACAAGCTCGCACGCAGGCTCTGCTTCCTCTCCTTTGTTTCCTTTCTGTTTCCATGGGGTGCCTACCCTGTTATCAAATTTCGTTCTTTGCCTTTGTTTAGGGATGACATAAACTCACTGTATTTATCAGATTAGTGATAAAAACGTGAAACCCTCCACGTTTTTAGTATATTCTGTACCAATAATGCAACATACTTTTATATCTTTAACCTCAAAATTTAAGAGCAGGAAAAATACTTAAACTTTAAATTAGTTTAACTTAAAATAAGTTACTTCCGCCCTGGTATGATAGTTTTAAACCGACACTATCTAACAAATCTGTTTCCTATTAATATAAGCCCATGGATGTTTTTAATGAGTTTCTATAAATAAAATTAGCATTTAGGTGTTACCTACTGTAAATCAGGGCCTGATCTAAGTATTTGAAACTCTGTTAATCTTCACAACAATCCTGAGGTGGGCATGTTTTCCTCACTTTGCAGGTGAGGAAACGGAAACGCTGGCATGGGAAGGAACCCAGGCCATCTGGCCCTGGAGCCTTTGCTTCTTACCACCATGCTTAGGCTGTATCCTTCCTCACATACAAAATATTATATAGTGCACATATGTGTGGTAACAAAATCAGGATTAAAAATTAAAGTAAGAACATAGGAATTTATGTGCTAGGCACTGTGCTACTCACAGGGAGAAAAAATAAATAGATAGATCCTACTTTCAGGGTAACTGCAGTTTGCTGAGTAAGAGAACTATTTTAAGATACCTAAAAAAGGAAACAAAAGCTCTTGTAAAATGGTTACTCAAATAAATATTCTTGGGCAGATTGACAGATGATGGATCAAATGAACTTGGGGTTTGTGAATCACAGAGTACTTCATTTTTAATACCTTATGTTTTATGTAAATAGTAATATCAACTTTGAAAATGAATTGTTTATGTGATTTCTTAAAAATAAAGATTATATAACAAATCACATCAGCTTGTGTTATGTGTAATACCTAGGGGGCTAAGGCACTCTATTGCTCTTATTCTGTTAATAGTCACAGCACTCCTAATATATAATCTTTTCAGAGCCCTGAATTATAATTCCAACTATGAGATGGCTATTGAGTAAATTTTGCAATGTAGATTTATTATAGAATATAATTGTATTGCTTTCATATTCTCTATTCATTATCATCCTTTTATGTTTTGGGTTAGCTACAACACAATTACACACAACTGCATTTCTAAAATATTCCACGTTTGTCTGGGTGTGGTGGCTTTTGCCTGTAATCTTAGTACTTTGGGAGGCCAAGGCGGGAGGATCGCTTGAGCCCATGAGTTCCAGACCAGCCTGAGCAACATAGTGAGACATCATCTCTACAAAAAAAAAAAAAAAAAACTTAGCCAGGCATGTGGCCAGCACCTGTAGTCCTGGCTACTCAGGAGGCTGAGGCAGGCGGATCACTTGAGCCCAGAAGTTTGAGGTTGCAGTGAGCTATGATGTTACCACTGCACTCTAGCCTGGACAACAGAGAGAGACACTGTCTCAAAAAAAATAATAAAGTATTCCACATTTTACATTTTTTAAGATTTTTGTTAATCTGGGCAGGACTCCCCAACTTTTATTCTAAAATAATAATGTTTATTTTGATAATTATTAGCCTAATTTCTTACATGAAAAGATTAAGGCTCAGACAGGTTAAACATTATACATAAGATCACATACTAAGCCACACAGATAGCATAGAATAGAAATTCTATTCTAGGGCTTCACGGACTTTAAATTGCTTATGTAAATGGCTCATGTTTATTAACTTACCTTTTCGGAGCCAATATACTTCAGAAGTATACAACTGCCATCATAAAAATGTGGTTACCCATCACCTTTGTGCTCTAAAACACAGAGGTTCTTTAGAGGGTGCTTTAGAAGAAGGGAATTTTACCATTTTATTTTTAAAATGTAGATCCTACACTTTTGTGTGTTTTTTTAATGAATAGGGCAACATTGTTGGTCCTTTTCCCAAAGACATGGTATGAAAATTAATTTTTATTATAGAAATCAGAAAAGAAGCATTTATTGTTTGATGGCAAGACCCTGAATTTAATTTCAACATCTGATTTTCCACATTATATATAGGTACCAGTGATTCTGTGCCATTTTTATTTCTTCAGATTTTTCCTCTTCTACAATTCTCCAATATCTGTTACTATTTCAATATCTGATCATGGCTCTGAATTACTTTTGTTCTTCTTGCATCTCCCAACTCTGATTCAAAACTTCTGCCACTCCTTTGCTGTGCAGTCTAGAACCTCTCTTGCAAGGAGCTTACCCGGTGAGGCAAATTGCAAATTGCCTTGCAACAGGATTGTTAGCAAGTCAGTATGTTGGTAAGAAGTCTTGCTAATTTGCTATATGAGCTGAATAAAGCGGAAGAGAATTCTCCTTCCCCCTGATGAATTGGGATGTGTGTGGTATGTTGACCAGTATCAGTGATTCTATTTGGATTGATTACTTTATGGTTGCAGGTTTTTATCCATATGAATATTGCACCTAATTTTCACCGTAATTGGTTAAACAAATGTCTGCTGTTTGTATTGCAACCCTTCCAGCCCATAACTGCTGGGAGCGATTTGATGCAGCTGGAGAATAACACTAACAATCATCACAGCCTGTGAAACGATCTCATTCCACTCTGTGGTCTTCTTACCCTAAGGACTGATGATGTTCAGCAAACGAGACTTGAAAAAAGTCCGTTTTATTATAATTAAAGAACTAGTGTAGAAAGGAGAGCGAGTTCTAGGGCAGCTCAGTGCTGTTCATCTGGTAAGAGCTTGTTTTTGTAAGACTTCACTTTAAGTGTGGCAAGGAAATGCTTTCATCTGAAAGGGATTGTTGTGCTTCGTTCTCATTCCCGCCCGCCCTGCGATAAAAACCCTTGCTGACTGACAGCACAGATGTAGCTCATTTGGAGAAAATGAAGAAAGAGGAGAAAAGGGCTGGGGTGGAGGGAAGGAGTAGTCAGTTATGCTTCCAGACTCCCGCCGTTTTTCCTGTTGTCCTTCACCCGAGCGGCCCCGAGGTCCACTTGGAAAGTGGCGATGCCCTCGCCTCTGGCCCTGCGGCCCTACCTGCGGGGCGAGTTGTCCCCGTCCCTGGACTCGCGGCCCTGCAGCAGCCCTGCCGAGCTCCCCGGGAAGGCAGGGAAGCTCCTCCTGGCGGCCACTCCTCCCCGGGTCCCGCGGCTGCCTCGCCGGCTGGCCTGGTGCTCTATAGACTGGGAGCAGGTGTGCCTGCTGCAGAGGCTGGGAGCTGGAGGGTTTGGCTCGGTATACAAGGCGACCTACCGTGGTGTCCCTGTGGCCGTGAAGCAGGTGAACAAGTGCACCAAGAACCGACTAGCATCCCAGCGGAGTTTCTGGGCCGAGCTCAACGTAGCAAGGCTACACCACGACAACATAGTGCAGGTCGTGGCCGCCAGCACGCGCTCGCCGGCGGGCTCCAACAGTCTGGGTACCATAATCATGGAGTTTGGTGGCAGTGTCACTTTACACCAAGCCATCTACGGCGCTCCCGGCTACACTGAGGCGGGGGAGCCTCACTGCTCTGCTGGAGAACACTTAAGTCTGGGGAAGTGTGTGAAGTATTCCCTGGATATTGTGAACGGCCTGCTCTTCCTTCACTCGCAGAGCATCGTGCACTTGGACCTGAAGCCGGCGAACATTTTGATCAGTGAGCAGGATGTCTGTAAAATTAGTGACTTTGGTTGCTCCGAGAAGCTGGAAGATCTGCTGTGCTTCCAGACGCATCCTTACCACCCAGGAGGCACATACACCCACCAAGCCCCGGAGCTCCTGAAAGGAGAGACCATAACGCCCAAGGCCGACATCTATTCCTTTGCCATCACCCTCTGGCAGATGACGACCAGGGAGGTGCCTTACTCGGGGGAGCAGCAGCACGTGCTCTACGCCGTGGTGGCCTACAACCTTCGCCCGCCTCTCTCGGCCGCTGTCTTCAGCAGCTCTCTGTCTGGGCAGCGACTTGAGGACATCATTCAGTGCTGCTGGAGGGCCTGCGCTTCTCAGAGGCCAAGTGCAGAGCTGCTCTTGGTGGACCTTAACTCTTTAAAAGCGGAATTTGACTGACTGCAAACCTGTATCAAGATAAGCTTTTGTCTTTGTTTCTATTTGTTTTTAAAGAAGTGGACATGTAGAAGAAAACATACTCCTAGGATGCATTTTTGGAAAATAAAGTTACTGAAAACCCCTTTAGTCTTAAATGCTTTCTCTGAGACAAATGGCAAAGCTACAAATCTGGTACCTGTATTTGTCTCAGTAGTTAATAATTAACATTTTTCTTTTATATAGGTATATGCTTTGCTTTCTGTGGCCAATGTGCTTACTTTAACCGTTGCATAGTAGTGCATTTATTCAAATTTATTGATAAAACCACTTTGTCCAAAACGGAACTCCATTGCAGAAATGCTAAAATTTTCTGTTAGGTAGACATGGATTCCGGGTCTCCTAGGGACGAAAGTGGGTGCTGTTGCCCCCATCTTGGTCCTGCCCCACCCTAATTTTCCTTACCTGGGGGAGGAGGGAATACCCTATGAATCTGCAAATCAGAACTTGGCGCGCCAGCTGCAGAAGAATGCAGAGAACTCTATAGCCCACGGGCTAAGCAGCATGGGTACCATAAAGTCTGGAAAGTGATCTGGAACCCACGTGCATAGTTCAGGCCTGGGTCACGTGACTCCCAACTGTCCAATCAAAGTGGTTCCATGGTGACCTCTGAACCATGAAGAAGGTCCCTATCTGGGCACTATAAAATAAGACAGAGACCATAGCCAATCCCTCTCTTTGTGCCCTTCCTTTGGCTCTCACTTTGCTGCAACTGTGGGTCGAATCTTCATCTGTGGCATATGTGTCACAGTCTGTAAACCTATACCTTGCTCTTGCCCTGTAATCCTATCTTTTCTCTCCTCAACAAACCTCATTTTCATGCTTGCCTAACTTTGGCGTGTCTGCTCATTCTTTGGCATGAGCACACCAAGAACCTACATTTTCAGACTAAAACCAGACATTTTCTATAAATTCACATGTCCCCATACCTACCACCTAAATACAAACTTTTTTTTAAATTTATTTTTTAGAGACAGGGTCTTGCTGTCACCCAGCCTGGAGTACAGTGGCATGATCATAGCTCACTGCAATCTCGAACTCCTGGGCTCAAGTGATCCTACTGCCACAGACTCCTGAATAGCTGGGACCACAGACACATGCCATCACGCTGAGCTATCAAATTATTAACAGCGTACTTGCTCCCGTACCAAATCAATAAAAACTTTTTAAAAAATTAATTTTTCCCACTCCTCCTCCCAATAGAATTTCTTGTTTGTCATGACCTTCACACATAAAATTCACAAGCTGAGGTAAATTTATTTTCAAAGGAATAATATCTTAAATGGTATATGTTAATATTTTGAACTTGTGCATTGCCATGAATAGAAAAATTTTGCTAAAATACTTTTAAACTGAGTCTCTTTTACCTCGTGTTTGGACTCAGAAGTAGATGACAATATAAAGTAAGATTGTATGATGTGAGGGCAAATGATAACCCTGAGGAATAGTGGAATTAACATCGGAACAGGAGAGCCAACCAGTAGAACTAGATCGCCCATTCTAGCTGTTCTGGTACACAGGATTTAAAGAAGGCGGTGATTGGATCTCGTCATTAGGACAACTTTGACTTTCTTTCAGCAGTTTCAGCGAGTGGTGGGATGGCCGGGAGAGGGAACGGCAAGGGCTGGAGGCAGCAGCTGGGCATGGGCTGCCAGAGAAGGAGGGAGAAACAGAAACCGCAAAGGGGTATAAGAGACACAGGAATGTTTGGGGACTTTTGGTCTGGTTTAGTTTATTTTTAGGATAAAAGGAGTAAGTTTATTTGTGGAATAAGCCAAAGGAGACAAAAATAATAAAGTTTAAAAACTTGAAGAAGAGATGAAGCATAGTACCTAGGGAAGGAGATCGCAGTCAGAAGAGAGAGGGCATCTCCTCCCAGGATGGTAGCCAACAAGGGTGGGGACTGTCCTTATAGACACGCTGACAAGTAGGAAAAAGGGAGCTGAGGAAGCCCACACCTGTGGACTTCTACATTTTCTCTTAAGCATGGTTGAGGGTGGGTGTCTGCAGAGTGAGACCATGGTTTAACTGTTCTTCAGAAAAACAGAAGGGAGCTATGGCCATGTACAATGTTAACAGAGTGCTACTAACTCTGTCCAGGTAGCTTGAGGAACAAACTATTCAAATAATTCCTTCCGCCGTTTATTGCAGCGATAGGAATTTATGTTGCTAAGTTTAAAATACAATTAAGAAAAATTACAATGGACCAGTTTTGTTTCACCAAGTGTGTTAAAATGAGATTCAGACCAAATCTCCTGCTGAACGCTTCATTAATGAACTGCCAGGAAACTACATGAGGATCCTCTGTTAAAGGTGTTAAAATCCAGAACTGACTTCCAGAGTGTACATGGCCACAGCTTAGATGAAAGTATCGTCCCCTCTTCCGCAAACCACACAGAGTGACAAGGTACATAAGGGAGAATAAACCCTGTGAACTCCATAATCAGTGAAAGTAGGAGACAGAGAGAAAACAAACTCCAAAATGTATACAGTGATGCCTGAAGACCAGACAAAACTGCCAGGAAAGAGTGCAGGGAATGTAGGGGATATATTGGGTGTAGGGGACCGAGGGACCCAGCAATGACAGATCCCAGAAAGACCTGCAAAATTAGACACCCTGAAGAACAGAAATCCACTGGGAAGTGCAAAAGTTGGGGAAGAAATTCCTGAGAACAGGGCTGAGATCAAACAGAGCTAAGTTTACAAGAGTTGGTGGAAAAAGAAGGAACAGAAGTTGTTAAGAAGAGTCCAGCCCTGCAGAACTCAGCTCCTAACCTGAGAGGTCACCCTGGGGGTAGGGGCCCAGGATACTAGACAGGGGCAGAAGCCTCCTGAGCCCGGCTTGCTTTGGAAAGAAAAAGTTGTGGCTGCATGGAGAAACCCAGGTAATGTCTCATTCGAAGGAAACAAGCAGACAAGGAAGTCTTAGTTGTTGAAAGACCCCCTGGTGGGAGGTAGACTAAGCGCGCTAACTACTCCATCTGCAATAGCCAAGAGTCAAAGGATATTACTTAGAGTTGACACACCAAATCGGAGGTAAAGGCACATTTAACAGTGAGTACAAAGAAAAATATTAGGAAAGATTATACTATTGACTGAAGTTATGGTGGGGAAGAGGAGGGAGGGAAGAGGGAAAATATACAAGCTATCATGGCTATCATTGCTCCTAGAAATAGTGAATAGATAGATGTTGTCTGGGATTAAGAAAATTACATACAGACAAATGATAGAACCGAAAAATAATAGGGACACATAAAATTGAAATGTTAACAAAATTAGAAAAGAAAAATCACCCTTTATCTGAAAATTTTAAAACTCAAGCAACTATGTGTCAAAAGAAAATGCTAATCAAAATTGTACCAATCTAGAGAGCAAGAATAATGAAAACACTTATATTAGAAACTATGGGATAAAAATAAAGTAGAATAAAATTTGTAGTCTCAAGTACTAAAAAAAAATAAAAAACAAAAAATTTTAAAATATGAGTCAAAGTTTGGAAAAGAACAAAAAAGGGGGAAATTTAAAAATAGAAGTTAGGGGCCAGGCGCGGTGGCTCACGCCTGTAATCCTAGCACTCTGAGAGGCCGAGGCGGGAGGATTGTTTAGACAAAGGGGTTCGGGTCCAGCCTGCCGAACAAGGGAGACCCCCTCTTTACTAAAAAAATAGAAAGAAATTATCTGGACACCTAAAAATATATAGAAAAAATTAGCCGGGCATGGTGGCGCATGCCTGTAGTCCCAGCTACTCGGGAGGCTGAGGCAGAAGGATCGCTTGAGCCCAGGAGTTTGAGGTTGCTGTGAGCTAGGCTGACGCCACAGCACTCTAGCCTGGGCAACACAGCAAGACTCTGTCTCAAAAAATAAAATAAAATAAAATAAAAACAGGAGTTAAAGCAGACATGAGTTAAAAGAAATAGAACAAGTAAGTGAATAAATAAAATATTTTGTTGAATAAAAATTAAGACCGACAAACCACTAGCTAACTTAAAAGAAATAAAATCATATATATACAAAATTAGAAATAGCATAATGATCAAAACAGGAAAATGTAATTTTAGGAGGAAACTTTGTATAACGATAGAAATAAACTTGAACACCAAGAAGAATGTATAATTTTCTAGGAAACTATAATTTACCAAAACTTTATTTATCACCCCAATGATGATAGAAAGTCTAAACAGATCAATTTCTAAGGAAGTAGAAAGGGTTATCCAGTCCCTCCACTCCCCAGAAGGCACTAAAGCCAAAAGTCTCATTGACTTTTACCAAACCTTAAACACGAGGTCATCTTGATGCTATTGAAATTATTCCAGAGCACTGAAAGAAAATATCCAAATTCCTTTTAAGAATAACATTTACACCAAAACCTGACAAAGATTGCTTTAAAAAAAGAAACTACAAATCAATTTTATTTAAAACTATCAGTGTTGGCAGGGTGAGGTGGCTCACACCTGTAAAACTTAGCACTTTGGGAGGCCGAGACAGGAGAATTACTTGAGGCCAGGAGTTTGAGACCAGACTGGGCAAGAGAGTGAGATCCTGTCTGTCCAAAAAATAGAAAAATTAGTCAGATGTGGTGGTGTGCACCTGTAGTTCCAGTTATTCGGGAGGCTGAGGCAGGAGGATTGCTTGAGTCCAGGAGTTTGAGGTTGCAGTAAGCTATGATGATACCACTGCACTCTTGCCCAGGCAACAGAGGGAGACCCTGCCTCAAAAAAAACAAAAACAAAAAACAAAAAACCTATCAGTGTTAACAATTCTAAGTAAATATTAGCGAACAGAACCTAATAGTTAATTTCAAAAATCATGCACGTGATATTTTGAATCATGTGGGTTTCTTCCAAGTTTTCTTGCATAGAACAATGTAAGGATCATTCAATATTAGGAAGTCTTAATTCATCACATTAGTAGGTCAAAAGAGAAAAATAAGAATGTGGCTGAGAAGACACTGAGCAGCACATAAT